CTGACTAACGACCAATGGCCAATGTTACTCATTTGGCTCTTGTCACCGCTGTTATTGTTATTTGGCAACGTGTGACCAATGTGTCGTCTGCAGTATATACACAGTCTATGAATGTATCTTCGTTCGCTCGATCGACGTCGACCTGGTGCTTCGTCGTTTTAGCTGTTCTGCTTGGCATATAAATTTTTTCCCTTGACGATTTTCGCGCTAGCTGACTGGTTGGCTGGCATCTTCTTGAACGTCACTGCCGCGAACGAACGAGTAGATTTACTTTGTGTAGGAATGGATTGAACAGCAACATACGACCGACCGAGCAACAAACGTCCGACCACCGCGTGGCGGCCGATCGGGAGAGCTCCTCCGATCGAGTGGTTGCTGTACCCGCTAGCGATAACTGTAGTGGCCGCAGCCCTCGTGGTGGTACAATCGTGCTAGTTGTTGTTACTGTTATGGTAGAGTTCTGATGGTGCTAGGCAAGGCAAGGCAAAAAAAAGCGCCGTTGCCGAGTCGAGTCGCGCGCGGTGGCTGGGGCTGCTTTTGCTACCGATCCCCGAAGTGTTGAAGCCTGTTAGTCTTCAGCAGCGCTGGTCGCTTTCCTTGTTATTTTTGTTGTTGTTGTTGTTGTAGTCGTCGTCGTTGCTGCTGCTGCTGCTAGCAGCTTCGACGCTCCTGCCACAGTCGGCGAAGCATCGAAATCGGCGCGTCAGCTCCTTACGCAGTTGAGTAAAATGCTCGCTAGCTCTTTCGACGCCATTGATACGTTCGCCCATCTGTCCGTCCGTCCGTCCGTCCGTCCGTCGCTACGAGCACCAGCCGCAGCAGAAGCAATAGTGAAGTGGTCGACAAACCGGACCTGGTACCCAGCGATGCGCCGAAGAACGCCATCACTGCCATCGGCAGTAGTAGATCCAGCGCCCGAGCGGCCCTCAGAGAAAGAGCTCAAGCGATCAAGCGAACGAATGAAGAAGAATCGATGGATGCAATTGTTGACGTAGTGTTATGTGTAGTGGGTGCAGAGTTATCTTCCACCCGCTCTTACTGTAGCAGCTGCTGTAAAACTTGCAGTTGTCGTATAGAGCAACAGCCAGTTACCATTTTCCGCCGCGATGTCAATGATTGTGATGGCATCGTTTGCTATAGCTCTTGTTTCATAGCCGAAAGGAAATATTAACTCCTCATACAGCATCAACCGCAGAAACCTAGCTAAACATTTACGAAATGCAGCTTGACAGCCGTCAAAGCCACTGACCGATGCGACGACGATGCTCGCTACGGTAACAATCCGACAAACAGCAGGCTGCTCCAGCAGCAGTAGCAACGATCATCGACGACTAAAGGAAGGATGGCGTCGCAGTGGCTGACGCCGGTGCATCGCGGTTCGAGGTCGATTGTTTCTTCTTCTTCTGCTGCTACGATTGGTTGCTGTATCTATGCATGAGTCTCTACGAGTGGTAGCGAACAAATAGAGGAAGAAGCAGGAGGCAAGCGTCAACAACGAGAAGCCAAATGGATGCCAGCTGCGAAAACAACGACGACGACGACAACAACAACAGCTAAGGCGATAGACAGCACAATCATCTTCTTCTTCATCATCATCATCATCATCATCACTACTAGAGGCAGCCATAATGCTGCCATACCATACATAGGTTACCGTTGTTGTTGTTAGTGATGGTAACGGCGGCAGCGCGCTCAACTCTGGTCGATCGGCTCCGTCGTCATCGTCACCGTTATGAGTGTCGTTCGTGGTTGGTCAGTCAGTAAAAAGAAGACGAAGAAGTCAGTCAATGTAAGTGGCTTCGTTCGTTCTACTGGCTCCCGCTTGCCTGCCTATCTGTCTACCTGCGCGTTTGGTCCGCCGGTTGGGCGGTTGGTGTGATGGCCCACTCGTGGACTGCCATCTATAATCGCCAAACCCGCTCCTCGTCGCAGTCGACGCGGCACCATGACCGCCAGTTATACCGCATACGCCGCCCTATAACATAGCATCAAACATAGAGCATATAAATAGCGTGACGTGGTCCTTTCTGCTGTTTCTCCTTTTTGATCACCAACACAGGACAGCAACAGCATTCACCGCCACCACCATCAATATTTTCCCTGTCCCCCTTTCCTTCGCCATGCCGACGCATGTTCTATATAAAAGAGCGACAAAAATGGACGAGAACGAAAGATATATTTGCTAGCTGCTTGCTCGCTCGCTACGTTACGTTGCTACTGCTGCTGCACAGTACTGTGACAGTGGCTGACGCTGATGGCAGTCGCGTTACTTCGCTGTTTCTGATGTCGTTTCCATCGATGAAGTGAAGCTCATGTAGACAGACAGACAGACAGACAGACAGACAGACAGGTGATGGTAATCTTCTACACAGCTACCATCTTGAGACCTTCGTTATTGTTTCGGTATTTTCAGGAGTCAGAGAAGTCGAGACATGTCGACGAGAGTAAACGTTCCTTCAACATACAACGATACAGCAACGGCGGTGGTGGCAACAATAAC